TTTCAAAATCTAAATAAATAACATCAATAATTTTCCTTCTCTTATAAATATTTTCCTGGCTTTTTGAAAGACTGTTAAATATGTAAGAGGACATGATCTCCCTTCTAGCATATCTGCCCTTACTGAGCCATGTGGTCATGAAGCTTCAAAGGACATATGTTATCTCCATAACCAATTCACAAAGTACAAATTCATAGAATCATAGAAAGACTTCAGTTGGAAGGAACCTTAAAAATCATGTAGTTCGAACCCCCCACCATGGGCAGAGATGTCACCCACTAGATCAGGTGGAATTATTCTAATAGAAATATGTATTTATGAGGCACTAACATTGTATTTGAGTAAGAATAAATGCTTTTGAAAATTTAATGCTTTTTATTTATTTCTCATTAGAAAGCAGCATAAAATATAGGCATTGTGGAAACTTACTGCATTCAGAGGATAAGTTTCCCCTCTGCGAGTCATTTGTGCAGTCATTAAAAGGGATGCCACATGGTGTTTTGATGCTCTTTTAGAACAAGACAGCCATAAGGGAGAACTCAGTACTACTAATTCTTTCAGTTACAGCAACCTTGTAAGAAAAACACTTTTAACATTTAGCAAAGATTTTCTTTGGGACCCCTCAGTTGTTACATTGGCCTTTTATTTTTCTTCACTTACTGAAAAAGATGTTAAATCATAATGGCAAGTATAAAATGCCTGACTCTGCTTTAGTGTTGATTTAGAAAAAGTTTCATTAATGACTATAAACCATCGGTTTGAACAGTCTTAAAGACTGGCAGAATGGATTGTCAGACTAAACAAAAATCAAATTGCCAAGTAGGAAATTAAAACATTAGATCACACTTTGCCTAGAGTTTGCCTCTATAATACTAGGCCATTTTTATAAGGGGAAACAAATGCCCATATTCTTTGTTTTAACTGGTCAAAATGTGTCACCCCAGTATGCTGATCTCTACAGACCCCTGCTGTGTTCTTGTCCAATTAAAATTTTTCCACGTTTTGAATTGCCAGAACATCTTATTACAAAGAGCTCTACTCCATCTCATTCTAAGCAATGAATAATTTTTCTGCACATCGTTTCCTTTTCTTTCAAATGGGACAAGCTTTCCTAAGCTTTGGAAAAGTCCTAGAGGACCCAGAGCGAAGCACAGTCTTTGAGAGGATGATTCAACCCATCTTGAGATAAGCATGAACACAGATAATGTGCATTGCCTTTGGGAAGAACCTCTCTCCTCACTAACTGTGGAAAGTAAAAACATCGACATTGTGCAGTGCTGCACAGATTCCTGAGCTTGGTCTTAAAACCAGAAGCATAATGGCCATTCATTCCACCCTCATGGGACAGTCATTCTGAAAATGCACCAATGTGTCTGACTACAGGATCTCAGTTTGCACCTCTGCTTGACATTGCTATTCAGAACAGCCTGCAGAATTTTCTGTGGGTACACTGCAAAGGCTCAGGCGCATGTCAGGTGCAGATGGCAAATCCAGGCTCAGAAGCAGCCAGGAATGTGACTGTATTTTGTCTTTGACACTACCACAGAAACATGAGGGTGTCACATAAACTCTGAGATGATAAGGTAATGCTAGAAAGCCTAAAGAGAACCTTCTGACTTTATTAAAATGGAATCAAAGAGAGAATAAAATTTCTCTAGCAATGTAAGGATTTTGAGGTTTTAACTGATTATAAAGACATTTTTTAAATGTGTGGCTTCATTTCCCTCTTTTATTATTGAAATCCTTTCCATTACAATGTGTAGATTTTCTTTGTGTATATAGAAAGACAATTTAAATCAACTTTAATTTTTCATTCTAACAGAGAAAACCAGATTTGCACAGAGGAACGACACTAGAAGAAAAATCTAGTAAAGAATATGACTTTTACTAAGCTAGATTTGATACTTAATTATTAATTCTATTGTCATAATGAAATTCTTGACAGATTTAGGTGCAACAAAAGTGGAAGCTTCTCTAATCTATCTCCATGTGCCATTTTACTCAATCACAACATGCTTGCCTGGAGCACAGGTTAGCTGTTTGCTCAAGCTGATCATAGATACTGGATTTATTCTAAACATGACTAATTCTTTTAACCAGATGGCTGTACAGATAGCTCTTTTTCTTTCTTTTTCTTTTTTTTTTTTTTTTTTTTAATTTGTTTCCTGGGTCTCTTGTTTATATTTATTATGGGATTTTATCACCATATGTCCATTTTTTATATATTTTAATTACTTAGACTAGGCACACAACATTTTCTTTTATAATGACTCCACAAAACAGTGAAATAACCAAATTGTTACAACTCATTGTCATTTTCATACTCTAATGTCTTATTTCATAATCTATTTAAAGGTAATTCTGGTACCTTGTTCTACTAATGCTGCATCCTCTGAGAAATTCCAGAGATATTCTCAGAAAACACAAAAGGTTTGTCCATTCACTGAGCAAAATATTAATGAAACTGAGTTCTCCATCTATCTCATTCCTGATCTTAGATATGCAGATCTCATCATCAGATGGCAAAAGTAAGTGATCTTGTTCCCATACAGAAATACCATAATTTTCCTTTATAATGAAAAGCTGTGTGAATGAACACTAGATTTTGCAAATAATTTTGGTGACTGTACAAATATGTTCCCAGTTTGGGACTCTATTTTCGACTCAGATATTTAAATTTATTTATGTGAATAATGTCAAAGCAACTGTATTTTTTTTTTAATTTAAACATACTGCATGTAGAATGCTTCACTAAGGATGTCTATACACAGTAATACTGGCTCTAGTCTGTGCTCTGAGTAAGAGTTACAAATAATTGCTCAGTTAATCTACAATAGAAAGAAAATATTTTTAACATATGTAACCACTTTCTTCAGAAAAAAATTCAGCTTTTATTGCAATTGACTATTTGTAGTTAAATAGCCTGAACTGAACCTAGATGTTATTAATCCAAGATATCTTCCTGGATGTTGCAAGTCTTTACTGCAGGGAGACCTCTCTGTCTCTGAGTCTTTGTTTGAGTGCCTCCTTCCATGAACAGAATATTGCCACTCATCAATGCTCTCATCACCTTCAAGCTGCCAGTATGAACATCAGCTACATCTACATTATTTTTCTTGGTTCACGCAATTTTCTTTGTGCTGTTTTGGATAAAATTGAAACTGCTTCCCCTTTGGAGTGGAAAGCTCTTAAACCTTTCCCTTAATTTTTTGCTGTAGAAGTAGTACCCACCAAAAAGTCAAAATGCATTGCACTCATGTAAAAGCTGTTAAATATTAAACACAGCTTAAATAAAGTCTTCAGATTTCTAAAAGACTTTATCTGAAGAGCTTCTTAGAGGAAAAAACACTTGTATGCACCAAAAGCTAATTAATATTGGCAATGGAGTCACAAAGAGGAAACAAAATTTCTCTCTAATAGTAAAAAAAATGGTACTTTTCTACTCATTAAATCAGAAAGCTGTCATCTTGCCATGCAGTATAGTACTGTGGTCCAAATACCAGATTCTAAAGCTAAATACAAACAGACTGTGGGACATGTTCTGGACAGCTTGTTCTCAGATAGCCTGTAATGTGATGTGCCTTTCAGCTGAGTGCTGGACTCAGGTTGTCCCTCCAGAGGCTTGGGAGATGGTCACCAACCTCAGGGCAAGAAAAAAAGTGTCTCTGGGTGACAGAGACATGGCAGAAAGGGAGGAACTGTAGCCCACAGAGGTAGTACTGGGATGAGTAGAGAGACCTGGGTCACCCATAGCCCAAGCCCTGCTGTGGCAGACAGAAACACTTTAGGGATGGGAATGGGTTGGCTGTAACTCAAACCACACTGGGATCACAGCAGCCAAGCAGAGAAGCAAGAATTTGCCTGTGAGTATATGATAGATGGAACAGATTTGCTTATACACAATTTTATTTCTGTTCTGTCTGATTTAGTTATTCTTAGTATTCTCTCTTTTAAGCCTTTTAAGGCTGCTTATTTTAGTTTATATTTTAATAAATTCTGGCTTTGAGTTGAAAGAGTTTTTTGGTTTTCTGGTCTCCACCATAAGGCAAGGATCTCCGAGAAATGCATCTCACTCCACTGCACACACATCCTTTGCTTAACAGTGTGCAGCCTTTGAATTTATCATAAGTGACTGCAAATTAGTACTTACATCCTATGAAAATGCCAGTGTTTCAAAATTTGTGCTGTTAGGCAGAAGAAACATTGACACTTTTTTTTACACAGCTTCCCATTCTTTTTGTATTGTCATTCTAAGCTAAACAACATCTTGACATTTATGTACTGGGTTCACTGTGAGTTTAAGTGAAGCCTTTAGTTTCATCTTCCTCTAATTTACTCTTGATTTTGAGCTGCTGCACTGACTCCTGAAGAGCTGGTCTTTGTGCCTCCACTCCACTTTAACTCAACTGTAATAGTAAGTTTTTAAAGTGAAACGTAACTGTCTTGGTGTTGTGTAATGCAACCCCATAGTAATTATTTAATCACCCAGTAGTAAGCTGAAATATTTCAACATCTGCTTTTGGGTTTGAGTTTGTAATTTCATTGGGGTTTAGTTTTGAAAAATTCCCAATAATGTATATATGTCATTATTGAATTTGTAAAGTATTTTGTTGCAAACATGGGAATGTTATTAGGTAACTTACGAAGTCCATGCATTTCAAAATCTACACTATTAGTTTCAGTAGCCTTCTCAAACCAGAGATCTACTTGAATTTCTGGAAAAACTGTGCTGGTTTTGGACTCTGACCCCCTGCTTCTCTGTTGGAGTTTCCTACCTTATCTCCTCCTTCACAGCATTTCCTCTCTTCCGCACTAGGTTTGTGTGGCTGTTTCCACTTACTCCACAAGTACCACAAATATGAATTCTTGGGAACTGGGCAGGGTCATCCAGAAAGGCTCCTTGGTACTGTGGGAAAGGCACAGATAATTGTGGGTCATCACATTTTGTTACTTGTTTATTTATTTGTAGGTTGAGATCCTGATTATGTAGTCTGAATTGATTCAAAGTGAGCTAAAGGCCAAACTTATTTTGGCCAGGCAGTTGAGATGATTTGTAATTCATGTTTCTCCAGTTTTAGGCAGGGTCAAATACTTAAGGGAGAGATGGCTGGGATGTTAACAAGTTCCTAACCTAAGGTACATGGGAATATTTTTACTATCCCTTCCCTTCCCTTCCCTTCCCTTCCCTTCCCTTCCCTTCCCTTCCCTTCCCTTCCCTTCCCTTTTTTCCCTTTTATTTTTTAAAATGAAGAACATACAGGAAAGGTAAATGAGAACATCCTATTTCCTCATGCACACACAGAGAATCATAACTGTGTTATAACTTTGTGTGTGTACACAGGCAGATATATATATATCCATCCTAAACCTATTATGAATTATTAGCAGAGGATTTAATAACTGTTCCATGAGTACCATTCTGAATATTCTGAAAACAATTAAATAATGCATTTTTACACTGATATTATGTCAAGTAGTGATAGTATTTTTAGCATTTTCTGTTCTAAGTGTCTATAACCTATAATCACTATATAATGAAATTATCATTAGTGTATGAAATTTTGTGCATACTATGTTGCCTGCAATAACTGTGCTTAAATCTGAGGAAAGGCAAACAAATAATTTTTTAAAATTAGTTTATAATACTTTGTTTCAATGCATTGACAATTTGACTTTAGATTTTTGATGTTATCTTTTGCTTTCACAACACCAAGTCATGATAGACCCCAATTTATTGAATATAAAACTATCTTCTTGGAACCTCTGTTACCAAGGTCTCAGACTGAAAAATTTTCAATATTTTTATATTGAAGTATTTTTCAGAATGTTCATGTGGAAACCATTCTAATGCATAAAGTGCCTTTAAGTGGACAGGCATTTCAATTTAAATAATATCTATCTGCAATGTGACAGGCTTGAAGTAACTGGATTACTTGTCTGGTAGTCTAATTTGAAACCCCAGAGGTAACCACTGAAATCCACATGAAACAAAGCTTAATTTGACTATGTGTGACCTTGCGCATTGATCTAGATTAGTTGTTTGATTGTTTCCAAAACCCTTATCAGTTTAACAGCCACCCTGTAATAAGCTCCCAGTAAACAATTCTTCCTCCTCCATCTACCTATTTTTTATTTTGAAGAAGGCAAAAATTGGTGACATACAGAATGAAAACTAAAAAAGAGTGAAGCAAATATATAACTAGATAGAAAATAGCAAACTGTCACACTACACAAATCCCTTATTCTGTTTTGATTGCAACCCCTAACTGCTGGATACATCTAATTTAAATGCAGAATAAAATTGCAGAGCCTAGTATTTCTAGTTTAGAACTGTTTTCAGTTTTACATGAAAATTTTCTTCATGTTTCTTATTTTAGAATAAGAATATAGAAGAATATTCTAATATAAGAATAATAGAAATCTATTATAATAATTATTAATATATAATTATATATAATTATAATTATATTATTATATTATTATAATAATATATAATTATATTATTATTAATATATAATAGAATATAAGAATAATTCTAATATAGAAGAATATAAGAATATAATAGAAAGATCTATTAAAGAAATAGATCTTTCCTCTTGCAAACAAGTTTGGTTTGGTTGTTTTTATGTTCTTTGCCTGATCTAATGGTAAGAATTTTAAAGTACTTAATCTCCACTTGATTTATTCATCTGCTTGATTGGTTAAACAGTGATCACACATGCAGATCTTCCTAGGATGTGCTTTCTCTTCTTTTTTTTATGGACCTGGAGTCCTGTGTGCTGAATACTTATCAGTAGTCATCTTGGTTAGGTCTGTATTCAATTACAGGACTTTGTGCTTCACTTCCCTGTTTGAGTTAGGCGATTACATCCAGAAAGTTATTTAACTTGTCCATTATCATGAAAATAGTGTTTCCAAATAACTTTTTTCATTTCTTATCTATAATTTGCTTTCTCATGGCCCTTTCTGACTGCTTCAAAATTTTCTTATTCAAATTCCCATAGTCTGACTCTTCTTTCAGCATAAGAACAAGACAACCTGGACAATATAACTAAGTATTTTGAAGTTCCTGAAATTGTAGATCCTGGTTTTCTTTCCCCCAAGCTTGACTTTCCTATACCTCCTCCTGTGTCATTAATTCAGCAAACTTTTCTTTGGACATTTTTCAGAGCCAGCATCCTGTGGGTAATATGGGGTTTTGTGGTTCTTTAATGCCATTTCTCTTATCCTTTTCTTATCCTATTTCTCCACGCTGGAAGACTTCCAGTACAGCTCTGCCTCTAGCAATGCAGTTGTCAAGATGTTTAAAGAGTAGGGAAGTTACTTTTTTAGCTCTTTACACTTTTAAATGAGGTTATCTTTCTTGTACTTTTTTGTAGAATTTTTGAAATACAAGGAAACTTTTTCAGCATCTGGAAATCATTACAAAAGGAGTAAATGCTACAGAAGCCTCTGCACCATGAGTAGGTTGTCTGTATGCCAGTGAAAGGTCTGGGGACACAAAAATGCTAACTGCTGGACAGAAATCTCTGTGCTTCAGGAGCTATAATATTAGTTCTTGAACTCCCAGACCTTCTGATAGCAGCAAATAAAGATTTTGGCACTACTTCTAATATCCAGCTGTGAGAAGGGGCAATTCTCAGGAGTCCAAAGGAAAATATATATATATGGGTGGGACTGGTATGTTTCACGGTATAGAACCATCTTGTCTACTGAGCACCTGGGTATGCCTTACAGAACTGCAAAAAAAATTTTGTCCCCTCCCTGGGACAAAATCCCCAGGGAGGACAGGGCAGTGGGGTCTGACCATCTCATCTGACAACCTCAGCAACTGCAACTTAACCCCTTCACAGCAGAAGTTACCCTGAAATGGGCATGAGAAGGGAGAGCCTGAAATGCAGCCTTTTTTGCAATATGCAGGGAGCAACTAGGATTTGCATGGAAGGGCAAGGAGGAGACTTTATAGAGAGATGTATCTGGGAACTGAGCTTTAGGAACCTCTGGCACAAACCACCACAGATGGTCCAGAGAACATCTGCTGTTCTACCCAGAGAGGGAGCTCTTGGGGTTACTGCTGGCTGGTAATAGGCCTGGCACTGTAAAATTTCTGCTCCATAACATTTTTTCATTCTTTCAGAGGAAAAAGGCATCTTTATGGACCGCTGTAAACATACATCTGATTTAACTAGATTTACCTGTGAACAGAGAAGAGGAGACAGCAGAGACAGCTAATAAGGTATGTCATATTGACTAACTATACAAACCAAAAGGGAAAGCAGTATTTTTTAGATGTTAGACCTTCTACATAGTTATTTCACATCTGCAACCCTTGGGACCTGTGCAGAACAGGATTCACTTTCAGACCTCATGGTCATGGTTGCTCACTGTCTTTCATTTCTTGTATCCTCCTGCATTCTTGGAAACATGCCTAAAATACTGCTGGTCAGCCTGGATCTTTTTAAATGAACTGATTCCTTCCTGTACAACAATCAGAAGTATAATGAAAATGCAGTCATTAATGGGTAATAGGTTTGTACTCTCCAGGAAAGACAAGATTAAAGCATGGGACTGAGAATCACTGTGGTGTTAACCAACAGTGAAATAAAGATTATATGGATGAAAACAGAAAGGATTTTGGTCAGTTGTATTGCATTGCAAAAGAGATTTCACTGAGGCAATCTCTGAAATACTGCACAGGCAGGTGAATAGACATCTCTATATTTCCAGTAAATTCTTATCACTGTGATTACAATTTTTTTCTTATTACTGTGATTACATATGCTGGAGAATATGTGTAAATAATAATGATAAATAATAATGATAAATCTCATTTATTACAACATAGCCTTATGTAGAGGAACAAAAGACGATGGAATGCCAACCATAGATGGGATAGAGGTTTTTGCACTCTGATGAGCTGAGTTGATGATTTGAATTAACAGAAATGGGACAACATTCTGGCTTAAAACACAGGGCCAAGAATTAAGGAGTAGTATCTGCCATTTCTGCATCAAATCAAGTTGCCTTTTGGAACAATTAAAAAAAAGAAAAAAAAAGATATCTAGTAGAGATCCTGATGTGATGCAGCCATATGAAAATGTCTTCTCATGAATAGAAATGTAATAAACAGTATTCTAGCAAGAGTTTACCTGGAGTATAGTGTACCTTTACAGCTTCTCACACAAGAGAATTAAGCATGTTGAAAAGCAGAGTAAGGCATCTAAGATGCTTAGAGGGAAGAAACTTTTCACATGATCAGAGGCTTGGAGTACCTCTCTTATGAAGATAGGCTGAAAGAGCTGGGGTTGTTCAGCCTGGAAAAAAGAAAGCTCTAGGAAAAGCTTATTCCAGCCTTTCAGTATACAGATGGGTGGGTTATAAGAAAGGAGATACTTTTTATCAGAGTCAGTAGCAATAGGACAAGAGGGAATGGGATTAAACTAGAAGAGGAGAGATTTAGGTTAGATGTTAGGGAAGGTGTTCTTTACTGTGAGGGTCGGGAGGCACTGGCACAAGTTGCCCAGAAAAATTGTGAATGTGCCATCCATGGAAGTGTTCAAGGCCAAGTTGGATGTGGTTTAAATCAACCTGATGTTGTGAAAGACGTCTCTGCCCATGGCAAGGGGGGTTGGACTAGATGACCTTTAAAGCTCCTTTCCAACACAAAGCATTCCATCAAGCACAAATGTGATTCCATCTTCCAAAAGGAGCTTGGCTTTCACAGCCTAACAAAATGTTGCATGCCCATAATATTGCATGTTAATACACCAGAGATAAGCCATTTGAACTAACAGCCACTGCTGGCACAAGAACAAATGGATATAAACTGGCTATTTATAAATTTACCCTGAAAAGAAGGTTTCTAAGCATCAGAGGAACAACATTTTGGAACAGCTTTTCTAGTTGCAGCACAAAATTTATTGTGGTTAAACAGCATAATCACAACCTGGATTAAATTATATGATTGACCAACTAAGCAGAACTCCTCTGCTTTCCTATGGCCTTTATTCTTAGAAGGAAACATAATACAAGGTTTTGGGCAATAGAGGTATAGCTCCTATGTCCTAGATAAGGTTCTGAGTTCAGTATGCAGGAAAAATGCATTTGCTGCTGCTGATTTGTTGTGCTTCACCTAATGCTTAGTTTCTGTGTCTGTTGTTCATTAACACTTGTGAACTGGATTATGCTTTGGTTTTACTACTGTTTAGGTACTTAATTATATTTCCGTCATCAAATATGCACTAATTCTTTTAGTTGAATTTTTTTAAAATATTTTTTCAGTAGATTATATCTTTCCAATATATTGTGAATCTTGTCGTTGTAGTATTACATTTCAGCTTGTCATGCTGATGTGTAATATCCATTCCCCTCTCCTGTTAGGGTTTTATTGGTTGCTATAGTTACCGACCATTGCTCCGTTCATGTCATTTATGTAGGCTAAATTCTTAGTGACCCTAAATCTGTTATCATACACACCTTGTTGTTGCTATATTGTGAGATGTCAAGGCACCCAACATGTTATGAGGAGGACTTCCAAAGAAATTAGTAGAGTTTGTCTGCATGACAGTCTGGATTTGCAGGGCTGAATCCCTCCATAAATTGCCATACTTTTACATTCACCTTAAGAGTAAATCAGCCAGGTCTTGTACATGCTATAACACAGTCTATCTTGATATTTATTATTTAATCTATTAAAACATTTGGCTGTCTCCACACACAGTTGGGAGACCAATTAAAAGTCCAGAAAATCTATACAAAGTTTCTCATGTAATTAGACGTTTCAGGGCATGCTATTAAGGGCCATCTGTTCTCCTGGATGACTGAGTATGACTGAGAAATGAGATGTTTCCTTCTGCGCTTGAGGTTCCGTCTGTCTTGATTCTATATTTGATTAACTCTGTATGGGGGTGGGGACTGAATTTATTTATAATGGTCTTAATCTGTATAGCAGGTTAAGTATGATTAGGGTAGGATATTGAACTGTTTAGCATTTGAGATACTCTTTATTGTTTCAGGGCAAGTAACAGTCTTGAACATTTTTCTAGGAGAATTCCTACTGCTTTTCTTTTGCTTACTTTTCCCCACCGCCTGTTTTTTTCCTTTGTTATCAGTGATCCAATTTTGCCATAGAATAAATGGTTACAACTAGAGAAAAATCACTGCCATTTTATGCATTTTGAATTTGGCTAGTAAAACCAAGCAGATCTGAGCAGTGCAGCAAAACATATGCTGTAAACTTATGAGAACTGGCTTGCTTTCCCCTTGGTAACATCTGTGCAAGCTCACCAAAGGTAACGTAGAACATGCCAGACTGCCGCAAAACGTGGAGATACCCAAATTAACTTTTAATTTAGGTATTTCTGATGTTCTACCAGCTGTGATGTGCCAATACCCTTAAGAGCAGATTTCAGTTGCAGCTGGCTGCCTACACTTTTCTCTCTAAGTGACTCTAAATCCTAACAGAGCAATGACATGCAGCAATACTTTTGTTTAACATTTCTAACAACAACTGATGGCTTTAGCTAGAGTTTTGCATTATCACACACACATTTAAAACTTCAATCTGGCTCTAAATAATACTTCAGCTTCTTTGTATAAATTTTTGCAAATAAGATCAAAGATCTCTTATGTTCTGCATATAGCAAAGTGTTTACAAATCTGTGCCAAGCCAAGACATCTGGTTATTGTGTTTTAGCAACGTGGGTTTTTCTATCTACTGTGCTTTTGTTGACATTTCACCCACTTTATGTACAGCAGCAAGTACATTTATATTGATATTAAAACAACATGTTCACTTATTCACTTAAATGAAATATTGTTTGGAAAATTAAACAAGAAATAAGAGTTTATGACACCCTGTTGCATGCTTAGCACTGCTAATGTCACTGCCCTAGCATCACCCTTAGGCATGTAAACCCTGGCTTCTGGTTGATTTTAGGAATGGTTATCATAAATAGTTTAAATCTAGTATTTGATGATAATTGTAGGCACTTAGAATAGAAACATATCACCAAAATTTAGATACAGTTAGCTATCAAGGAGTGAGTTAGTTATCTTTCACTCTCTTTAGTGTCAGCAAATAATACCAAGGAATTTCCAATTTGAAGTAATTTTTCCTGACTTATAGAAGATGTGTAATTGGGTGCCTCCCTTGGAGTGAGGTATATCACCTAGGAGCCCACATTCCTCATCCCTATGAAGAGTTCAATCTTAATTTCTCTTTTAATTCCTTGAAGTTAACTTCACCACTCCCATATGTTTCCTTGGCCTGCGATGTGGTGTACTCAGTATTTTTCAGCAATTAGTATCTGACTCTAGAGACGACTTTTTCTCTCTTGAGGAGAAAGTGCATGGATCATTCTACAAACAAAATAAAAGTGCAGCTATCATGACCATGTAGCTACAGCTGCTAATGATGCACACCACAGTGAATGTGATTCATACAGTCATCTGGAATTTATTATCTACTGTGAAGGAGATGTGGACTTTTTTGTGTAATCAGAAAGAGAATATAAATTCCGTTTTAAAGAATTTTCCTGAAATGAAAAGCCTAATTTCTCTTATTATTCAAAGTGAGTAAAGTTGTTTAAAGAACACCACAAAAGCTATTAAAACTTTGACAGATGTTCTGGTGAAATGTGAAACTGTATTTTTTTACCTTCAAGAATAGCATTATTTCATTATTGTGATAATTCTACAATCAGAAAACTGGAAAAATTAACTTTGATGAATTTTCTTTTTTCCTGAAATGTTTCTTTCATAAGAAAACTGCACAAGAGATCTGGAAGCATCAAGATTTTGCAAGTAATTAAATAATTCAGAAAGTGGAATTAAAATCCTTATATGAGCTCTACTTAAAGTGTCATCTCACAAATGTGTTTTCATCTTGGGAATGGTCATGTTGGCTGTCTGCTCCCTTGACAATAATAATGTACATCTGTTCTCACAGTTTTCATAAAATGGAGGATAGTATAAATCACTGCAGATTATATAATTACTGCATAGTAAAAATATTTGGTTTATAGATGTTTTACATAATTCTCTATGTATTTTAATATGTGTATTGCTCATGTGCTACAGTAGTGGCTTTGCTGTCTCAAAATTCAATAATAATCAGAAATCCTTAACACATTCCTTATTGTTTTTCTCCATTTTCATCATAAGAATACACATTATGTTACAGAGAACTAAAAAAAAAAGATATGCACATGAAAGTCAAGGTATGAAATATATATATATATGTAATTTTCCTGCTACACTATGAAAAGGATGGAGAAAGGTGAGTTTTCTGGCCCTTTTGGCTTTTCTGGGCCCTGGTAAATGTATAGGTTTTTTAGGCTCCTCCCCTGTCTCAGCAAGAAACATGGGACATGTTTGCTTATAATTGAGACAGTAAAGTCTCTGCTATTCAGTGGTGTAATTTTCCTTTACAACACTTCACCTATAGACAGAGCAGATCCTTTTTCTCTCAGGATCTAAATTAATTACAGGTTTTTATACTGTGTAAAAAATTCCTTTGTGATAATCTGTTGTTTTGCATGCTAGAGAAGAGGTCACAGGAGATCACTACAGCCCGATCTGGCTGCAAGAACCTGTGAAAAGTTCAGAGCTGTTACCAGTGACAATCCTGTTCATGGGGGAATTGCAGGTGAAGTAATTTGTCCCCCAATGACCCTTGAAGCTTGTCTCCCATCTGCCTCAGCCTGTGGAGCCCCAAAGAGCCTGGGTGACTTGTGCCTGGTGCATTTCTCCATGAGGATGAAGCCCCAGTGGCACAAAAAGGTGTGCTCCAGCTTTGAGGAGCAGTTGTCTGAAAGATACTTGGGGAGCTTTTGGAGGGTTTAAAGCTTGTTTTTGTTGAGGCACAAATGAGAATGGATGTGTGAAAGCTCTCTGTTAGGCAGAATAATATAGACTCAGTGTTCAAGCTGTATTTTAATTAAGGGTATCAAAAATAGAGTGTCATACAGACTGAATGCTAGGGATGAGTTAACAGGCAGAAAGAATGACGAGTGAGAGCTTAGCAAACTAATATAGCCTTGGAAAACAAGATTTGATGACCTTTTAATCACTGACTATCTCAGTATGTAGAGGAAGATCATTTATTTTCCCAATGCTTCGGTTTTTTTCTGTACTGTGGGGATAATAAAACTGCTTGAAATAAGCCTTTTAGAGAGAAATGTTAAATATTGGCAATTGCTTACAGCTTTGATCGAAGAATCACACTGGCTATTTACTTTGGGCAAGTAAATGCTATGTGTAGATACAAAATTTCAAAGTATAATAGGTCATGAAATAATGATATGATAAAGCATTCCTCTCAGAGTTGTGAACTAAAAAAGCCAACTGGACATGAAAGGGCCTTTGACAATCTTCAGAGGAAAAACAAGTTAGCACCTTTAAATCTGAAATTACAGATAAATGCATTTTCCTTCCTTAAGCCCCCTGTAGTTCCAATTAGGGATTCTACTTCTCACTTCCCTCCCAAAGTGTGGCACAATGCTGCTATGCATTATTGAACATGCTGCTGTGCCTTACTTGACCCCAGAGGTGAGTGCCTCTTAGCACTGGATGAAATGAGTCAGATTCCTTGAGTACTTCACTGAGAGATTGTGACTAGTTTAATTAAAGAATGCTCAAGAATGTATTGTGAGATACTTGGATTACATGCATTATGTAAGGCCAAATTAGTTATGAGCATTAATACAATCTTGATCTAAAGAGTAATTTGATAAGGGATGAAATAATAACAACATCCCTTTGAATCCCATACAGCACACTGTTTTTCCATATAAAATATCTCCCACATAATTTAAAATGTTTTTGTGGAACAGAGCAAGGCAGTGCCACTCAGAAGGGCCAGGAAAATGCACTGCCAGATGTGAGTCATTGCTGAACTCCAGCACTCATTTCTTTATTCACCTTTCAAGCACAAGACAACCTGCTCCCTACTGCAGAGTTGCCTGCAGGTGCCCTGATAGAACATGCAGTGAGGAGCTTGCCAGACAAGGGGGGGTTGTTTGATTTTCTTCTGAAGTTTGAGGATTTATCTTCATTTCCTGTGAACACCTGGGGTGATGTGGCACAACCATCCTTGTCCTTGGGTGAAATCTTGGCATTTCTGAAGTCAAAGAAATCAAAGAAATCTTCCCTTTTATCTTTCAGTGGAACCAGGATTTCCACCGCATACATGTTTCAGTGCCATGTTCTTTCAGGTAAGGAAACAGTGAAGTGCTGGAAATGACATGAATTTCTGTAGCCATGTGGTCAATTTCCCTACAAAAGTAGAAGAATCAGACTGAATGTAACCGATCAATCACCAAATCAGTCTTGGAAGTTCGATGGCCAGAATGGGCTTCCACTGTAGTTTTTGCATGGTAAGCTTCATACATTTTGTGGATACCTAGGAAGTTTGGTAGCAGGTTTAAGTTAATGAAATCTGAACACAAGGAAATAAGATTTCTAAAGTCTAAACTTTGTATATTTCTAGGCTAGATTATTTTGATTAAATACACATATCCACAGTATATTTAAGACATCTATTCTAGGATGAATTGAGTTACTCCCTAGATAGGCATTGACTCTTAGGAGTAACTGAGTACAATCAGTCACATGAATTTCATACTTTTATACTTATTCTTTGTAAGTACTCTAGGGTTTTAATGAAACGGGGCTGGAATACTAAATTATTTAGTGTTACCGAGCTAGTTACCACAGAAACGTGAGCAGAGAATTGTATTTTAACTTTACAAGCAGGGTATCGCTGCAAAATTTTCCCTTTGATTACTACCAAATAAAATATTTCAGTTGAATAACCATTTTACTTTCAGGTATTGAACAAATATCTCTAACAAATACTCTTCACACAAGCTCCACTCACAAGACCAGAATTCTACATGCAAATTTCCTACATGCATGAAGGTAAAACCTGGGGTGACTGTCTAAAGCCAAGCCTATAAATGGCATTCTGAACATTTAGTTCTAGTCCATTTATTTTTGTTTACTTCTGTGCTTCATTATAATGAGAGACACGTTTTTGTGTATCGAGGACTATAATTACTTGTGTCCATAGAGCAGCTCAGCAGAGAGTATAATTATTGCTCACATGTCAGCTCAAGGCAAGAATTAGACTCAAAAGTCTGACACGGTCATTACTCCTACATTTTAATTTGTTCATCTCCTGGTAGCACCTAACAGATCACCTATGCCTGTCCTAATTTTTCAGTACAAAGAGATCAAACTCCTGCCTCTGTATCCTTTTTTGTGAGGGAGATGGTCATACCTGAGAATGAAGCTGGTTCTTCATTCATGTCAGAAAGACACAGAGCTGCGTCTGGGACAGGACCACAGGGCAGCACAGGGACAGCTGGCCACGTGTGCAGCATTGCCAACATCACAGACACGTCTGAGGCTGCAGAGATGTGACAGATGGTCCTGGGTGCACAGAGGTGGAGGGTATTATCTTTCTTTGGAAAAATCAAGAAAGGTCTTGGGGCAAGCTAGGCATTTGCCACAGCTGGAGAGATTTTTTTCAGTCTGCAAGTGACATAGTTATTGCTCATGAGCTACATGTAGATCAAAAACCGGTTTGATGTGGCTGCCAAAGGCCCCTTCAAGATAGGGGCAACAGCAGGGATGACCAGAGAGCCTGCACTGTATGCTCTCTGTAGATGCCCCTCATGCCCATCTACCTCCAAGTGCAACTTGCTCCAGAATCCAAAAGCATTTTTAGCACAGGAAGACACTGTACTGTTTTTTACTCAGCAAAGGAATGGGACTAGAGAAAGGCTGCTGCCCAGCACAGGTACCCATCCACTGCTGTTATACTGGCCTGTGCACTGCTGACACTTCTGGTTTCTTCTGTTTTCTGTCTGGGGTACCATTAAATTTCCTAGAACTCTCACAGTTCAGTACAACAAAAACCTTCAGGCTTTAACACAGTGTATTGGATTTGTGGTTTTTGCTATTATGTTGGGCAAAACCAAACAAGTTATAAAGCCACAAAGAACTTCAAACATCCCTCCTTCGCCTATTACCAGTGAATCCTGGGTCTCTAAATAATTTAAAAATATCTTAGACTTTTTTGGCTGGCTTTCTCTGAGTTTGTGTGAAGGCTTTCCTCCACAGCAGGAAGCCCTAATCATCTCAGTGCTATACTGCAGGCCATGTCTGCATACTTCCCATTATTTTGGGAACTACAGACATACCTACAATGCTACAGTTGGCCAAGATTTCTCTATAAGGCCCTGGTAAGGTACAGGAACCTACATAGAGATGACTACCCTGCTCTCCACCCTATGACTGAGTGCATAAAGGAACCACTTTTTCCCCTATATTCATACAACTAATTGCAAAACAATAACATTTTTTCAGAAAATTGTCTCCATTGCAGCAACGTTGGAAGTGGTAGGGTGTGAGTGAGTCAGTTGCAAAAATGAAAAATTCTGTTTTAATATCATTTAGTAATAAATGTTCACAAACAAGAACAAATTAAGTTTGTTCTCTATATTTTAAATTAATTTTTACTCTTCAGTTTATAAGACTCATGTCTCACTATATGATTTTAAGTGGTTTCACAAAATTGCTTCAAAAGAAATTATTCTGTAGAGTTTGCATATATTTGATATATATCTTTGAAATTATTTGTTCTTGTGCATGTTTTTAGTTACAGAATAAAGACTGCTTAAAGTTTTATTGAGAAAATTCAATTCCCTTATAACTAAATGAAAAGCACATAATTAAAACAAGATTTGAAGGCAAGAAAAAAAATCCTTTTATGAGAGCACAACTCTTGAATAATTACTTCAGCTCTGGCAGTGAATACTTCGTTATTTAATGAAATCTTAGTATGCAGTACTTTATCCCAAATGTGTCACGAATTTTCAGTGAGAGAAAATGAACTTTGGTCCTAATGTGTACTCTGGGAGTGAGAGGCATACGGCAAATATTATAGCAGTTCACTTTGAATGTTATTTGCTCAGGGATCTTTGCTCAGGTAGTATCTGGGGTGTCAATAAACAGCAATTTCAGGTTCTCTGTCAGACCGTGCAGGAAAAAGTGCATCACTGTCCTTTGCTTCCTCACCCACCAGCTGTGGATCTCTCATGCCGGCACACAATCCGTGCCCCCAGCACCCCTCACTGTGACTCAGCTGCAGCTCTTCACCCACCTGCAGTGTTCACCCGAGCCCTCCTGTGCCCGTTCCGTGCGATGCTCGGAGGCACCCCCACACTGCTGGCCGTGCCTGAGCCCAGAGAGCAGCACAGTGTCTGCACTGGGGCTGCAATTCCTCTCACCCAACTTCTGCTTTCCAAAGGTTAGAAATACAGATATTACTCTCGTCCCTTTCCAGCTAATGGAAGGAGACAGGAACAGCTGGCCAAGACTTCTCTGGGTGGACCTCACCGCTCTCCAAAGGTGTCTGTCCTGCACCTACAGGGACATCAGCTGGCTAACGCTAACTGCATGTGGCATTGCCAGGTCTCAAGAGTTTGCAGAGACAGAGCTTGACCTTAATGTGCACCAAAATGATTTTAACATTAACAGAACCATTTTTGGCAAGCATGTTGCTCTACCTAAGGAAAGGTCTGCACATGGTCCTCCCAGTGCTTGGGTCTGATATTTCAAATGCTGCGGATTATAAGATGCAAGAGCAATACAAACAAACAGTTTTCTCAGTGATGAAGAAACATCACTAGTGAAATACTTTTCTAAACCATTTAAAACTATTTTGCCAATAGGTCAGGTGCAAGCTAAGTTAACTCAAAAGGACTACAAATACAGATTTTTGAAAATTAATAAACTAAATAAAACAATACTAATATTACCTGAGCCAAATTCAAGTTGGAACCCAGAAAAGTACAAGCAAATTATGTATATTTCTCAAAGATAATTGCTGGAAGTATATTTATGTCTCTAAATACAAAGGGGAAATTGAAAATCACATTATTTATATCTCAGCACTTTTAATGTAATATTACATATATAATTCCAATGAGTATAAGTTCAATTAAAAGCCATATAGCATAGAACTGCTCTCATTATGTGAAGTGATTCCTAATAAGCAAGAGAACCACTGAGCAAATTCTTCTTATTCATAACCTGCACAGAGGAAGACAGGGGTAATCAGTGGGACAAAAAAATCTATCAGTGTCCAATATGAAGTTCTTGTTTAGTGCCAAATTAAACTTTTTCAGCTTTTGTCTGTCACTATTCTTTGATTTTTTATTGTTAAAGATATATTTGAATAGAAAGCCGTTTGTAAATACGAAAAAATCTAAAATTTGATTAAATCAGGATGTGATTTTAAAGACCTTGCAGTTTATTGAATAGATGTTAAGTTCTTTCTGGAGGAAAAAAAAAGTTACTTGCTTTCTTTCTAGCACTACCAGTTACTTTTTTACAAATACACTTTCTGTACTTTATTTTTTCATGATGGAGTTGTTTTGACTGATGTCACAGTTTTAAAAGTCAATGAAAAATATGTTTCACTGAAGTGGAAGCCCTGATCAGGCATTGCTTTTTCTTCTTAAACCTGAAACAAGTATAAAAGCATGTCTCTTAGAACATTTAAATCAACCTTTTTTTCCTGTTCATAAGCAAAGAACTCAGGAGTGAAGGAAAAAGACAAAGGCTTTCTCTGTGACAGAAGGCAAAGCAGGAAAAAAACCCCAAAAAACAAGACAAAACAATAAAAAAAAAGCCCCATCATTTCTCCTCAAAATCCTTAGGAGATCAACTCTCCCTCTCACTTTGTGCTTTGTGGATGGAGAGGTTTGAGCTGATTGATGACAGAGTTGGGTTAGCATAGGGACCATTTACTGAAGTGAGGAAAAGTAGCTCTTCAGTCAAATACTTCCATACCTTTTGCTTTTTCCAGTGGCTCCTTTGTACTCTTTTCTGAAACAACATGACGATGTTGATTACCACTGCAAGAAGATTATTACTGTAAAAATGTTCAACTGACAAAGATTTCAGAGTGTGTATTATCAATTTGTATGAGTCAGACCTTTGTTGGCAAAATCTCAATGGCATTGCAAAATACAGTTTTCCATCTCGGCAGACTTGTACCAGACATGTACAACTCTATGCAGAATGCCAGCTCCGTGCATCAGAGTAAAGGTTTTCAAATGTTGTAAAACAAACAAACAAACAAACACAAAAACACAAACATAAATTGTGTTAATCTCAGAAGATGCAAAACAACTGTCTGAATGTGAATAAACACACACACACACACACGTGCTCTAACTCATACATGCAATGTCAGTCAGGCTTCTAACATCTACACCCAAAATTGCAAAGAGGAACTGTTCTACACAAGATCATACAAATGCCCATACTGAACTGAAAAGCTGGAGATATATTTTTGAAACTGTTCCTCTTACACTCACCACCAATATAACTGACAGAGCTATCCTATCTCTCATCAATTAATTTTTTAATTGCTGTGGGTGAAAGCTAGATTTCAACAAAAGCCTTGGAGGCATGAAGTTTCATATAATACTTCAGTAAACAGCCAGTTTTATCAGTTTAGATTTCATTCATTTGTGAGGAAACTGTAAAAGAATCTGGACATTTTATTTGAGCTGTTTACAAGAATTTATAGATCAATGGTAAAAATCAAGTTACAATCAGATATTGCTGATTGATACAAAAAAATTAGAATTAGTGAAGAAATTTAAATTAAAATGTCCAAAACTTCAAAATTTTTAGAAGACTGGATTTCTTCTAAAAGCCTTTTTTTTTCTCAATTTAGCAGTGCTCAATAAAACTGAAAATCTATTAAGCTAAGTGAATAAACTATCAGAAGCTATTCACTTTTTGATGAATCAGCATATCCAGTTGTACCAACAGCCCTGGTGTCAGATTAGGAAAACTTGTTGATCTAGATAGGATCTTAGAGGAGAAATTTCAATGTCAAAATAACAAATGGTTTCCATGTAGCTTT